CAGCTGAACCTGAGTTTGGTAACAGTTTGACAATGAAAATAGAGACTCCAATTTCCCAAATTTCCCTCCCCTCCAAGTCCAATCTTAGCAATAGTAATTAATTCCTTAATTTCTGTATAACTGTACCAGGTGTGGCAGTTTTGTTGTGTGACACATGGAGGTTAGACTCTTCTCCTTGCTACTTTCTAACATGAATTTGAAAAAGTTATGTAATCTCTCTAAACATTCAAGTGCTCATCTGTAAAAGCTAACATTTCCTACTTCACAGGGTTGTTTAAAGATTAAGTGAGGTATTGTACAAACATGTTCTAACACAATGCCTGACACAAAGCAGTTTCTGAAAAACACACATTTCTAATGTCTGCTTCCCTCATCCCCATAAGACTAACCTCTCTACTATATTCACGATCCCATTGCCTCCCAGTTCTCTGGGGACACTATACCAACAATTATCTTTTCCCTCTCCTGTCTTACCAAACTCTCCTATCCTGCTGAAAAGTCAATAAACATTTATTGAATATGTAGTTAGTAAGTGCCAGGCCTTTTTTTTTACCTGTTATCTTAACCTAACGCTAACCTTTCCTGAAGCTATTGGTTTGCCTTTCTTCTTGCCTTTATGATCAAAAGTCTGCCGTGAGGCTACAGTAGGGGAATCTATATAAAGGAGGTTGTCAGAGGGAATATGAATTTCTAGATATTGTGCTCAAATTTTAAATTGCTTGTTCAAATCCACCTTTTCCAGAAAAACAGAGCTCATTTTCCCCATCAGAGTCTTAAAAGGATGCTTGATTCTCAATATGTTAAGATCCAGTGATCTATATCAGTAACATTTCAGGACCGTCATGCTATGCCATTATACTGTGTCTGCCCATACCAAGCACCGAATGCACCCCAGTTATAGTCAGCAGTGAACTTTACTGGCTGACCTCAAATTTCTATTTTTTAGTCTTCATCCTATGTTATTTATCTGCATAATGTGACATTCATACCAGGATTTTCCTTCTTGGACTTTCTCTTTCATTGATTTCTGACATCACTTTTTTCTCCGAATAAGTCATATTTGAGCACTCCCATCTCTTCCTCTGGCCCCTATTCCTCAAAATGACTCATAAATTTTGATGTTTCCTAAGATATACTTTGTCTTAATTTATTCTTGCTGTACATGCTCTCCTTGGATTATATAATCCATGTCTAAGACTTTCTATATCCAGATCAGACCTATTCTGATATCCAAATCCATATGTCTAGGTGATTAAAAAGTAAATTGCATAAATGACCCAAAGAAACACTTAAATTTTTTTAAACTTCACTAGTAATTTTTTTAAATTAAGTTAATATAATCTGAAAAAGAATAGATATATGTATATGTATAACTAAATCACTTTGCTGTACACCTAAAACTAACACAACATTGTAAATCAACTATACTCTAATATAAAATTTAAAAAATTTTTACATTAATATAAAGATACTACTTTCCTTTTTCTTGTGATTTATGGGTATTTTTTTCTAAATAATATCCTTTGTTAGCAAACTTAAGAATAAAGTGTATCCTAGTGCACTGCTAATGGAGTGTAAATTATCATAAGCTTTCTAGAGGGCAATTTGACTATATAGATTGGATGTCCTTAAAATATGCATACACACTTCTGCTTTTATAGTATGAAGTTATACTGAAGGGCCCTCCCACTAAAAGACAACTAGAACCTGGACAAATTAAGACAAACATCTTTAAGGCATGGCTAAGCTCACAAGAAGGAAAGGAAATCTGAGTGTGATGGGGGAGGCAATGAAATGAAATCTGAGCAGAGAGCCGTGAGTAAACAGTAAGTGAAAGAAAGTCTCTCTGGGAACAAATAATAATAGGAGTCCTGAGATCCTGAAGTCCTAAGCTTTGGGTCTGTCTCAAGGTTGGAAACTAATGTGAGTCTCCTGTATTACCTTGACCCTCCTTGGAGCTTAAGTGATCTCAGATGTCAGCAAATTCTGGACAGTGGCAAATAAACCATATCCTCTCTAAGGGAACATCCCCAATGTGGGCCCTCAGGATTCCCACAGATTTAGTTGAAGAACATATGATCTTGGACTTCCCTGGTGGCACAGTGGTTAAGAATCCACCTGCCAGTGCAGGGGACATAGGTTTGAGCCCTGGTCCAGGAAGATCCCACAAGCTGTGGAGCAACTAAGCCCATGCGCCACAACTACTGAGCCCATGTGCGGCAACTACTGAAGCCTGTGCACCTAGAGACCATGCTCCACAACAATGAGAAACAATGAGAAGCCCTCGCACCACAACAAGAGTAGCTCCCGCTCACTGCAGCTAGAGAAAGCCTGTGTGCAGCAATGAAGACCCAATGCAGCCAAAAATAAATAAATTAATTTACAAAGAAGAATTTTAAAAAAAGAACATATGATCTTATAAACACAAATTAAGCCACTGCCACTGAGAGTCATCAGAAACAAAATACAGACCAAATTTCCAAGGAAAATACATTGAGATAATCAGATAAACAATATTGACTGACCATCTATGAAATGATTAAAAACAAAACAAATGCACTGTTTTTAAATCAACCTAAAATGACTATTAAAAATGACCAAGAAGTATTTAAAACTAAAACAACTTAATCTTTGATATTAAAAACACACAGAATGGGTATCAACATATCAGATACAGATGAAAGAGATAATTTGTGTATTGAAAAACCAATCTTAGGAAATTAATTACCCAGAGTTAGCATAAAAAGTACAAAATAAAGAGGCTATATAATGCAGTTAATAAAAGACAAGATTCAGGAACTAGACTAAATTTGAATCCCAGCTCTACCACTAACTCCCTCTTAGCCTTGGGTGTGTTACTATCCTCTCTGTACCTCAGTTTCATCATATATTTAAAAATGAGGATTTGTGTAAGGATTAAATAATATACATAAAATGCTTGGATCAAAGTCTGATAAATTAAGCACTATAGAATAAATGTCATTATTAATATGACAAAACTCAGACCAAACATATCTATTATATCAAGAAATACATGAACTTAACTTACTTATTAAAAGAAAGATTATTTTTCAGATAACTCACAAAACAAATCCCCACTTTATGCTGTGTATAAAAGACACACTAAGTACAAAGTTATTCAGAAAGACTAAAAGAATGGGCAATGATATCCAAAAAAGAAAAGAGAAAAAAAAAAGAAATAGCAGAAGTCGTGATCATAATATCTGACAAGGTAAAATTCAGAGCAAAAGGCATTAAAATTCAGAGCAAAAAGCATGTGAAAGGTACTAAAAAGAACAATACACAGTGAAGATGTGTTATGTATTTCTATGCACCCAGTGGGAGTATGGCAATTTCATAAAGCAGGAAATTCAGGAGATGCAAAGATAGATAGGCAGACATTCAGGGAGAGAAATAAATAATAGCAACTTATTTCTCCCCCCAGTCCAAGGCATAGCAAAATGAAAAGCATAAGAAAGGATTCAGAAGACTTAAATGACTTAAATAATGTTTTCAATAAAGGAGATGATATGGATATATATTGAATTTTGTACCTGAATTAGAAAATACAGCTTTTTCCAAGTGCTTATGGAAGCTTTACTAAAATTAACCATATATTTGATCACAAAAAAATTAATAATGTCTAAAATATAAATAACACAGAAAATACCACAAAACAATAAAAGAAACTCCTCCACTGAGAAAGACTAAAAAAAGAAAGAAAGAAAACCATTGAGTTAGAGGAGAGAATTTAAAACAAACAAACAAACATTTTTGCAGAATTTCTAGAAAACAACTGTTATGGGTTGAATTATTTCCCCTCCCTCCAAATTTATAAGTTGAAGTTCTAATAGCACCTCAGAATGTAACCATATTTGGAAATGGGGTCACTGGAGTTGTAATTAGTTAAGACAAAGTCATACTGGAGTAGTTTGGTTCCCTAACCCAGTATAACTGGTGTCTTAATAAAAAACAAAAAAAAGGAAATTTGGAAACAGAGACATGTACACACAGAAAATTCAAATGGAAATGAAGACTGTGATAAGAGTGACGCTTCTACAAGCCAAGGAACACCAAAGATTTTCCAGCAAACTACGAGAAGGTGGGGAAAGATATAGCACAGCCCTCAGAAGGAACCAATCCTGTCAACATCTTGATCTCAGACTTCCAGCCTCCAGAACAATGAGACAATAAATTTCTGATGTTTAAGTCAGTTTGTGGTATTTTATCCAGCAGATTGAAAACATCATTGCTAGTGTTTATTTAGTTGCCCAAATTCCAAACTAGACTATACTTAAGAGTTTAGTACCCAATAGATGCTCCAAATATTACTGAATGAATAATTCAAGCATCAAAGGAGAATAAATTAAATTCTCCTGACAGTGTCTTCTAACTCAGAGATTGTTGTTCATTTGCTTGTGTGCTTATTTTGTTTTGATTTTGGGGGAACATCAGGCCTTTCAAAAGCTGCTAATCCATATGTCTGAATTAACAGGATCTTAGAAGTCCTTAAAAATGCATCATTTTTCAAACTATTAAAACAGGACAGAAAGTATGTCTTTTATACAGAGCATACAATGGGATTTCTTTTGTGGGTTATCTGAAATATCCGTCTTTTAGTAAGTAAGGTAAGCCCATGTATTTCTTAATATAATAGATATGTTTGGGATTAGTTCTGTTATATTAATAATAACATTTATTCTATACTGCTTAATATTACCAAAATTTGGTCAAGCATTCATTAAGATAGTTTCTTGAGACACTTTTAAAATATAAAGTTGCAAGCCATTAAACACGGAACTCACCACAAAAGCATAAAAATAAAACAAAGCTCTGAGTGAGAAGGCATTGTTCATACTCCCCTAAACTTCAGCAGGAATGGGGTTAGCTCCTGTCTCTTTTCAAAATACTACTCATGAGGGGGCAAGATCAAGATGACAGAGTAGGAAGACCCTGAGCTCCTATCCCCCCATGAACATATTAAAGCTACAGCTACTTACAGAGCAACTCTTGCTGAGAACCACCTGAAGAACAGCTCTTTTACAACCAAGGCTGTAAGGAATAAACCACATGGAGTTCGGTAGGAAGGGAAGAGAAGAGATTTGGTCAAGACCTCCACCCTCTTGAAGAGTGGATAACAAACTTGCTTGCTCTCAGCCCCAGCACAGAGACATCAGATTGAAAACTGCCAGGGGCTTTGGCCAGCCTGCCAGAATGGCCCCGTGTGTACTCCAGCCTGCCCTGAACTCCTGCTCTGGCCTGTTCTGCTCCAGCACTTCTCCTATTAGGGCAAAGATCACCATTGCAAATGCGTGTGCACACACCAGGGAAGAAGCAGAGCCAGCTCAGGGCCAGCGCTGCCTATAGCCAGGGCAGAAGTGTGGCTCAAATTCCTTGGGCCCTGACCCTGCCTCTGAGCAAGGCAGAGACCCAGAGCCAGCTAAGAAGTGCAGCCTCAGTGCCTCAGGGTCCTGGACCCACCCACAATAGGGCAGTGACCAGCACTGAACCTAGCTGAAGCCCTGGCTTGCACCTGCCTTCAGCTCTAGCCCCTCTGACTCCAACATTACTTCCCACCAATGTGGTGGTTGTCAGCCCAACTCAGGAGAAGTCACAGCCTGTGCTCACTTCAGATCCATCTCTCCCACCAAAGCCACTGGGCACAGATAAACTGCATAAGGACTCTCCCACACAAGGACACACCTTCAAGACCAGGATAGGTAACAGTTTCACCTAATTTCATAGAGACAGAGAAATATGATAAGACAGAGGAATATGTTTCCAAGGAATGAACAAGAAAAAAAAATGGGAAAAAAAACCCCATATAACATGGAGATAAATAATTTACCTGATAAAGAGTTCAAAGCAATAATAATAATGCTAACTGAACTTGGGAAAAGAATAGAAGAACACAATGAGAACTTCAACAAAGAACTGGAAGATATAAAAAAAGAACCAGTTAGAGTTGAAGAATACAATAACTGACATGAAAAATACACTAGAAGAAATTACAGCAGACTAAGTGACACAGAAGAATGCGTAAGTGACCTGGCAGAGACAATAGTGGAAATCCAATCAGAACAGTAAAAAGAAAAACAAAATTTAAAAAAAAATGAGAATAGTTCAAGAGACCTCTGGAACATCAAGCATACTAACATTTGCACTAGAGGGGTCTTGGAAGTAGAAGAGAGGGAAAAGAGGGCAGAAAATGGGTTTGATGAAATTATGGCTGAAAACATCCTGAACCTGAAGAGGAAAACAGATACCCAGGTCTGGGAAGCAGAGTCCCAAACAAGATGAACCCAAAGAGACCCACACAAACATGTATCATAATTAAAATGGCAAAAGTCAAAGGTAAAGAGAATTTTAAAGGCAGTAAGAGATAAACAAAGAGTCACATACAAGGGAATTCCCAGAAGGGTGTCAGCTGATTTTTCAGCAGAAACTTTGAAGGCCAGAAGGGAGTGGCATGATGTATTGAAAGTGCTGAAAAGAAAAAACCTACAACCTAAGATACTCTACCCAGCAAGGTTACCATTCAGATTTGAAGTTGAAAAAGAGATAGTTCTCCAGACAAGCTTTCTGCTAAAAGAGTTTATGACCACTAAATGGTTCTTACAAGAAATGGTAAAGGGTTTTCTTTAAGTGAAAAAGAAAATGTTATAACAAATAAGAAAATATAGGAAGAGAAAAATCTCACTGGTAACAGCAAAGGTATAGTAAGGGCAGTGGATCAACCACTTAAATGAGCTAGAACAGAGGTTAAAAGATGAAAATTGTAAACTCAACTATCACTACAACAAACAGTTAAGAGACAGACATAGAAGATGTAAAATACAGCATCAAAAACACAAAATGTGGGGGGAAGGGGAAGCAAAAAAATATATCTTTTAGAATGTGTTTGAATTTAAATGACTATCAACTTAAAACAAGTAGATATAGTTAAATGTTGACATATATGAAATTCATGGTAACTGCAAATCAAAAACCTACAATAGAAATAAAAAGGGAGAGAGAAAGGAATTCAAACATAACTCTTAAGAAAATCATCAAACCACAAGGGAAGTGACTAAAAAAAGAAGAGAAGAGAGAATAACTACAGAAACAACCAGAAAACAACTTACAAAAAGGCAATAAGTACATACCTATCAATAATCACTTTAAATGTCAATGGATTCAATGCTCCAATCAAAAGTCATAGGGTGGCTGATCGGATTAAGAAAACACGACCCATCTATATTCTGTCTACAAGAGACTTATTTCAGAACTAAAGACACACACAGAGTGAAAGTGAGGGGATGGAAAGATATATTACAGGCAGATAGAAATCAGAAGAAAGCTGGGGTAGCAATACTTATATCAGACTACTTAGAGTTTAAAACAAAGTCTATTAAAAAAATAAAGCAGAGAAAGACATTATATAATGATAAAGGGGTCAATCCAAAGGAGGATATAACAGTCATAAACATATATACACCTAATATAGGAGCACCTAAATTTATAAAGTAAATATTAATAGAGAAATTGACAGTAATACAATAATAGTAAGGGACTTTAATACCCCACTTACATCAACGGATAGATCATCCAAACAGAAAATCAATAAGGAGACAGTACCCTTAAATGACACATTAGGCCAAATGGAATTAATAGATATTCATACAACTTTCCATCCAAAAACAGCAGAATTTGCATTCTTTTCAGGTGCACATGGAACATACCCTACTATAGTCTATAAAAATATCAAATCACTATGTTGTAAACCTGAAACTAACATAAAATTGTAAGTATACTTTGATAAAAATAAAAATTAAACAAACAAACAAATATACTATTCATGCCTTTTGAATCTGGTAGGACATGTGAAGGGAATATTGGAAAAGGCATTTTTCACTTTAGGGACTTAAAAATTCCTATGCTGCATTTTAAAGGCTAGCAGGAAAGAATGACTACGTGTGGTGTGAAAACAATGGCAATTCTAAATTACTTTCCAGCGAAGTGATTCTGTGGTACAAAGAGGTGAGAGAGTGTGTGTCAGAAAATCACCCAGCTTGCTAATTTGTAGCTTTTTTTTTCTTTTTTTTGCGGTACGCGGCCCTCTCACTGTTGTGGCCTCTCCCGTTGCGGAGCACAGGCTCCGGACGCACAGGCTCAGCGTCCATGGCCCATGGGCCCAGCCGCTCCGCAGCATGTGGGATCTTCGCGGACCGGGGCACGAACCCGTGTCCCCTGCATCGGCAGGCGGACTCTCAACCACTGCGCCACCAGGGAAGCCCCTAATTTGTAGCTTTTTGCGTAGAAAATAATCTTACTTATATCTTCGTGGTGGAGTGGAATAATAGAAGGATTATTTGACACCATGTAACACGGATTTAAAACACATTTCTGAGAATGTCTAGAACACTGATACCATCTTCACAGTATGTTTGGCAATCCATTAACGAGATAGTTTTAAACCTATGTAGCAACATAAAAAATGCTTAGAGAAAAATCAGTCATAACCTGGAACTTTAACACAAAAATTGTTACTGTGTTCTATTTTCATACGTAAATACCGTATATATTAACAATTTTGTATCTTTTGTTTTATTTGTCACTAGTTCATATCTTTCAATTTTTTATTCCTTTTTAAATTTTTATAATCAAAAATTAATTGTTAAGCTTGAAGCCTATAAATAGGGAATGAACAATTTTTTTAATGCAAAAAATAAAAATAAAAAGTAAAGCTTGTTAGGAAAGAATTCTAAATATCTCCCCAAGCCGCGGAATACTTCTTGAAGGAATCAACATGCAATGTTAGACTTCATTTAATCACGCCAATCTTAAAATGACAGCAAAGAGATAAAAAGAATATGAATCCACAAAGACAAAGAGAATGAGAGAGAAAAGTTACAGGCAGAAGACAGCTACACATCTATGCAAGATGGAAAAAAAACTGAGGAGATATAATGACTTATGTTTCAGTCTCCATAAGGCTAAGAGAGCCGTGTTAACAAGAAGCAATACTCCTCAGCAATAAACAGGAAAATTATTGATATAGAAGGCAGATAAATCTCAAATTCATTATGCTGAGTGGAAAAAAAAAAAAAAGCCAGGCAAAGAGTACATTCCGTACTATTTCATTCATAGAAAATTCTAGAAAATGCAAACAAATATACAAGAACAAAAAGCACATCAGTGGTTGCCCAGCGAGGGGGTAAAGGAATAGAGGAGAATGAAGGAGTGGAACAAGGGATAAACTGCAAAAGTGCACAAGACAACTTTTTGAAAGATGGAAACATCTGTACATCTGGTTGTGGTGATGGTTTGCAGTGATGGTTTCAGGGGTGTATAAATTTGTGAAAACCAATCAAATTGTCCACTTTACATATGTGCAGTTTATTTTATTTCTATAGTACCTAAATAAAGATGTAAAACAACAATATAAAAATAAATAAAGGGATAGCTAAGGATCATCAGATACTTAAAGAAAGCTCCAATAAGAAATACAGAGACCAAAACAAACATTCAAAGGTAAACAAAAAGGAACTGAAGGAAATAGAGACCAGAAAGGGACAAGAATTTTAAAAAGAGAGAGAGAGAGAGAGAGAAAGAAAGAAATAGTATCCTCGTAGATAAGAATAGATTTTACATCAATGAAACAAAACCGAGGTGCTATTCAAAAGGCAAGAGATCTTGAAAATTAAAAAAAAATATGGTTGTCAAAGTTGATTTTTTTTTTTTTTTTTTTTACGGTACACGGGCCTCCCACTGCCGCGGCCTCTCCGCCCACGGAGTACAGGCTCCAGACGCACAGGCCCAGTGGCCATGGCTCACGGGCCCAGCCGCTCCGCGGCGTGTGGGATCTTCCCGGATCGAACCTGTGTCCCCAGCATTGGCAGGCGGACTCTCAAACACTGCACCACCAGGGAAGCCCCAAAGTTGATTTTTAAATGGAAAAGTTAGTCTATCAAGTTTAGGATATTTCTAAGACGTTCAAAAAACTAAAGATATGGAAAACCAGTGAGAAAAATATACATAAGATTAAGCTAATAAATCTAATCCTGAAAAGACTTTTGGAGGAGCAGAGTGGAGCGGCCAGTGTTGCCTAATGCTCTGTTTTGAAGAACAGCCAGCGGTGCAATGGAGCAGACCAGGGACTGCTCACACCTGAAACGGACCACAGAACAGGCACATACCAGAGGTGGAAGTTCAAGTCACACGTAGAAAGACAACCTCACCAAGCGATCAAGAGTGTCCACTGTGCCTGCAGAGATCTCAGCAGCAGCAAGTACCCATGGTAGATTTTAAGGCAAAATTGACATGGACATTCTTAGCTGAGACACCAAGAGGTGGGTAAAGCTGTATTGGAATAGCCAGGTAGCTGATAGAAGAAAAAAAAAAACACAATGCTTTATCTACTCTTTGAAGATTCTGCCCCAGCTTGCCTTGTTTGTAGGAGAACCTGCGTCATACCTCTAACTGTAGCCTTCCCTTAGGTCTCAAGGATCCTGAAACCTTCCAGGGGACATTA